TACATATCGTGCAAGACTCTTTTTTAAATAATTGTCATATACCATTTACTTATTCGAACATTTAATTGTATTAAAAGTCAATAATGTACATTTCTTAAAACTTTATTATCTTGTTTACTTGTCTTTCTTCCTGTGAGAGAAATAGTTCATAATATTAATAAACAGATGTACTCAGTATCTGTATCAAAATACAGAATGAACAGTGATCGGTCTCAAAAGAAAAACGTATCCTTGAAAGTTCCGGTGCCTAGGAGAAGTAAGCATCCCCAATGACAGGTCACACTTGCTGACCCGCAGTGAGCCTACGAAACTGAAGCTCTCTGAAATTAATTAATTCTGTGCTCGTCCATCCGTTTTTCTCAGACTAGCCAGCTAAAGATCTATGTACAGTACTCCAAATCAATTAATCTAAAGAATTTGAATTATCATTTTATTTTCTTTTTTAGTTGTTTGCTATAGTAGCCTTTACAGTTACCTAATTTCAGAATCAATATAGGCATAAAAGCCAATTAAATTTGCAACATCAACATAATTTTTTTTTCGTTCTGAGCACTTTTGGACGCCACCAATGGAGACAATTAGGGAGAAATTTTTGAAATTGAACTTCCTGTCTTTCAAACTGAAAATCTCAGGTTGATATTTTGAAACAAAAATTTGTGACATCAGTCTGGGATGTTATTGGTTATACCATTTAGTTAAGTACTACAAAATTCAGTGTGTCTGCTTCTTCGCTGATGACACTGGAAAAAGATATGCATGCCTACTTTAATATCATGATTCAATGCATTTTTTGTTATTGTACACTGTACATATTCGATGAAAGCATGCTAACCGCTTTTTCAGTACTTTCAGTACTTTGATTAGAATTTGCAGGTATAATACATACTGTAAAGTCATGGATGAAAGCAACAGACACTAATGATATAATTGCAAAATTACCTAACCCATTGATTTTGCCCAACACTCATATTCTTTCAAAGTGTTAAAAGGCAAAACAGTTTTACGAAATAAGTAATGTAAATGATATTGAACCCACTGGGAAAACAAGATGGAATGATATTTTTAATTTAGAGGAAAGTGAATGGAAAAGGATTTTTAAACTTCCATTTAAAATTACAAAAAATAGTAAACTTCAATGGTTTCAATACAGAATTTTAAATAAAATACTAGGTACAAACTCATTAGGAAAAGAGATGATAACTTATGTTCTTTCTGTAATATGGATGAAGAAACAATAATACATATTTTATGGGAGTGTGACAATGTACAGACCTTCCTCAACAGTTTTGAAAGATATTGTGAACAAAGGACAGGGTTGCAACTTTCATTTACAAAGCAAAGTTTTATTTTGGGATTTCTAGTAAAAAACAAAGATATTCATAATTTGATGGCCCTATGGATAAAATATCATATATATACAATGAGATGTTTAGAAAAAAATTAGATGTCAGACTTGTGACTTCACATATTAAACTTTTTTATGAAACTCAAAAATATTCAGCATATCAGAATGGTGACAGAGAGATGTTTGACACCAACTGGAATCTGTGGAATCAAATGTTTTCATAAAATGTTATTAAATGAAAAAAAAAAAACTTATTTATGTAAAGAAATTTTAAAACATGCCAACTCTCCCTCTCTCTCTCTTTCTTTCTTCCCTCCTCTCTCTCTTCTCTTTTTTCTCTTTCTCTCTCTCTTCTCTCTCTCCATCAAAAAACCAATCTGTAATATATCAAATTTTGTATTATGAATTGTGAAACAGATGTGTAAAATAAATAAAGAATAAAAAAAAAAAAATAGAATTTTCTGTGAAATTCCTTTAAATCACCAACAGTTTTGGTCTGATTTCAATATAATAGCACACATGTACACTACACTTAGATACATAATTAAGTACATCGGATTTTGATTTCTATGATCGGTGTTGCCATGGTTACTAAAAATAGTGATTTCTGTGAAATTCCTTTAAAACACTACTCCTCCTACAGTTTTGGTCTGATTTCAATATAACTTGGTACAAACGTACACTACACTAAGATACATAACTAAGTGCATTGATTTTTGATTTCAATGAACGGTGTTGCCATAGTTACTAAAAATAGAATTTTCTGTGAAATTCTTTTAAACCTACTCCTCCTACAGTTTGAGATTGATTTCAATATAACTTGGCACACAAGTAGACTACACTAAGATACATAATTTAGTGCTTTCGTTTTTTATTTCATTGAATGATGTTGCTATGGTGACTAAAAATAGAAATTTCTATGGAATTCCTTTAAAATGCTACTCCTTCTACAGTTTTGGTCTAATACAATATTACTTGGTACACAAGTAGTCTACACTAAGATACATAATTAAGTGCATCATTTTTTGTTTCGATGAACGGTGTTGCCATGGTTACTAAAAATAGTGATTTCTGTGAAATTTCTTTAAACCCTACTTCTCCTACAGTTTTGGTCTGATTGCAGTGGCTTTTTTCTCTTCCTTTGTTATAGGTAAAAACCAGTAGAGCTACAGTCTCAACAGAGACTTCTTGTTAACGATATGAAGTCATTAATGTTCAAATCCCTTAGCAGAAAGATGAGATGTTTAGTCATAAAAACTAAATCCCACCTTTCTCGCCTTGTTATTTGTCTAACATTTCAATATTATATGAGGAATCTCTAATAGGAATATCTACTAGGTACAGGTGAATTATTTCTTTTTTTTCAATGTTTAATCACTTGAATCAGCCAAAACAAAAATAGTTGTGCTCTACAGATTTGTTGTAAATTGATTATCCCTGAAGATTGACCTACGTTTTAAAAACTTTAACCTTTGCCAAAATTATAAAATGTTAATGTTAATATAAAATGTTAATTTTAGACCTTATTGATTTTGTTTGTGCATTTTTTATTACGAGGTCTTCCATTGCGTACCATTAATTTTGACCCTTTGACTTTTACCCTGGATTTTGACCCACTTTTAGAAAACATTAAACTTAACCATAACTGATGGATGGCTGATGCTTGGGATTTCATAATTACCAGGTAAATTTAATGATATTGAGCCTTTTAAATAAAAATAAAAATAATATTTTTGATCTCATTTTGAGACAAAAACTATATATCACCAAATCTAATTTTCGATCACGGTGGCAAAAAAATAAAGTATGATTCTTTTGGGAATTAAGCGTGAAGATTACGAACATTAGATAGTGTAGTAATTGAGGAACCAAGAGCATATTGGAAAAATACGGTGCTATGGAAGATTAGACTGCAGATTTGTATGATTACATCAATCCATATTTTACCTGATCTAAATGTTTTCATTTCATCAAAGTTTATAATAAGAAAAACAAGCAGTGTTTGTGAAACACTGATGCCCCGTAAGGCAACTACATATTTCCTAAAATTTTTATTAAAGCTGTAAAGTATGGGAAAAAGTAAAATTAAATTAATTATGACGTTATAAAACTAGCACAGGCCAAACACATTCACTAGATGTGATGTAACACGACTTGGGTTCTAAGTTAAACGAAATAAATTAAATGTGTAGATTTGAAGAATGTTCTTCTAAAAATCCTTCCACCATAAGAAATAATCACAAATAAATCTGGTCTCTTTACAATTTTATGAGTAGTTTTTAAAATGAATATTCATTTGTATTATTTAAATTGTTAATCAAGCATGTTATATATGCATTCATGTGCATGACTTTTATTAATCGATCTTAATAAAGAGCTGAATGTATTAATTGATTAGAAAACAAAAATAGGTTTTCCTGAGATATAAAGGAGACAATATTCAGTTGAAATAAATTTCATTTCTTGTATTATTTCAAGTATTTTTAACTTGTACGAACAGATGATTTTTAAAGAAAGTATATTCAATTTATAAACAAAACATAATTATGTGTATTCTCTTACCAAATAGCAGAATAACCCTTATATACAATTCAACGTTTTAAAATACCCTTAATAGGAAACAGAATCATCTGTATAATATTAAAATTTTTCTTTTAATTTAAAGATACCTTTAGCTACATATATTACATTTTATTAGATCTGCATTAATATGCTTGCCCTTTTTATATGATTTTCCAGAAATTTTATCATCAACAATAACGCTTTTTGGATTTGCAAAACACTTTATTCATAATTACCATGGGCTCATGGGCAATTGGGAACTGGGGTACGTGTAACTCCAATTTTTAACTCAAAACTGCAATCTGAGTGGAGGAAAACATTTAGAAATGTTTCATTGTATTTGTCAAATGAAATACAACAGAGAAAATAAAAATTCCTTCATTGTTGAACAAGTAAGCTGTAGGCAATTTGCATTTTTCCATAAAGAACAAAATGATTAAATATACATGGTATATTTTTCACGTCTACGCAGAAAGTCGTGTAGATTGCAGTGAATCATTATCATTATACAAAACATTAACATAAATAAAGAATGATTGCCTGTTTTTTTTAATTTTGAACAAGGAAAAGTTTTCAGATATTGATTTATGTTCCTTCAATCAAATAAAATAAATATCTAATGCAGAAAACTTGATACAAAAGTTTAAGCATTGTCAATTTTTGCATGGAGTTGTAGATAGATCAAATTTATGATCAGTTGAGATGAATTTATTCTTCACGGAATACACTACCTATTGTTTGATTGGTCGTTTATTCTTCTATAGTGTATATTTTTTGTTTAGTATTCAGAATGGTTTTGTTAATAGTGTTGAAATGTAGTCAAAGCCTACACAAAAGCATTTCCTGTAGTTTTACTCAATTATTCAGTCAAATTCTATGTGCATGTAAAAGCTATATGATGCATCTGAAACAATGTCGAAAGCACCAGAACTTTTATTTCAAAATCGGCCTTCTGAGTTCTTTTGAGAAAGAGTTCATAATTATATCCACAGAGCAGTGGATTACTTTAATAACACAAAATTATACGTGGTCTTAGTAAAACCTACAGCTTGTGAAATTCAAGAAAGAACCTTTTTAGAGAATTATCATAACAATGTATTTTCGGACAAAAAGGTTAATGATGAATATTCTGCATATTTCTCGATATACCTTTTTATGGAGTCGGTTGTTTGAAATATGTGTTACTTCACAATGTGAGATGTCAGACATGCAAACGATCACGAAAAACAACATGAGGTTCAAATTTATCTTTAAGACATTCAGTCCAATGGGAAGAAAAATGTGCATAAAGAAATGCCTTAACTATCCCTCATGTCTGTCAGTTAATTTTGAAAAAGCAAGACTGAAATGTGAACTGATTCAGTTTTCAAGTGAAGCAAATTCCGTGTTTTTATTGGAACAATCTGGATTTAAACACATTATTTTCAACAAGATGAACGCGTCAAATATAACTGCAAAGGTAAGAATTCAGTATTAAATAAGAGCCAAGGAGGAAGTCAGTACAATTTTGGTATTTTCTTTAAATCTTAAACCTATAACACTTCTTAACTAGACAGAGAAAAATTTATTTTCTATGATACCTTATGCCAAACTCTTCTTGTTAACTCGAATTATCTATATCTTATAGAATTATTTTGTACATTGCATATTTAGAAGATTTGCAATGTTTTGTTGTTGGATATTGAAATTATTTCCCGAGTGGGTCAATATAAGAATAATAAGCATTTAAATAATTTAATTTACTATAAAAAAACTTTCTTATTGCAATGTTCTGAATGAAAAAAATATCAAAATTGAGACGAAAACCCATTTCAAATCACATATCTCAAGACTTTGATTATTGACCTGATTTTCTACTAACAGAATAAACTTAAGGTATATAAAGTATATTGTGGCTTTAACTTGTTTAGAGTTTAGAGTTTATGATATTCGGATTTTTTTAAATTTTAGAGTAAAATGAGTCATATTTAGAAAATAGGCAGATGACTAAATAACGTGTTTATTGTTCATATTCTAATTGTTAACTAATATTTCAACAACTATCTTTCATTTCCATCATATTTCATTACCTAAAAAGTTACTCACTTGTAATATTTTGTGCCTAATGAAAATATTGGCATAAAGTAGAAAATTCAGATATTTTCCGAGAAATACTCAGGTACATGCATATATATGTATGTATCACATGCATGAAAAGTAAGTCAATAACCTAGTTATTTGAAAGTGAATAAAAGCACTACAATCATAGGTCTACAATACTCAATGGGACTTGAAAAGATAATGAATACAAAAAATACAACGTTTAAAACATTTTGATGAAATGGGCACCATTTTTGTTTAAAGCAAAATGAGCTGCAACTTTGATGTCGGAATTTTTGTTGCAAAATTGCAAATTGTAAATAACTATTTCAATGACAAAAGAATAATGTTATTAAAATTATGTTGTTCATATTTGTGATGGAAAAACATATTTATAAGCTTCTATTGAATCAAAATTACATTATTGTCGTCCTGTACAATATTTCTTGTATAAAACTGTAAATTGGATTGTACATAGAAGTCTTTCTTCTGCTTTATTATAGTCTAATTGATCATAAAGGTTTTAGTCACAAACAAATTCATCATAATAACACATTTTAACAGCAATAAAAAAAGCAGCTCATATTGCTTAAATGATGGTTAGTGGACGGAAAATGGAGCAATTTCATAAGAATCAGACTGATTATATGAAAAAATTTGGACCTGAGATATCTGTATCCATCTTGTGGTGTCTTCCTCTCCTCTCAACGTATATTCCTAAAAAAGACAAACTAATTTCGTAGAATATGCCGGTTTAAAAATAGCTGTTACAAAGATATTGAAAAGTATTGATATTGAAAAAAGAGAAGAAAGTGGACCTTTTATCCCAAATTCAATTTACATTTTTTATAAAAGCACAAATGGTTGTAAAGATATGTACAATATACTCATCAAGAAGAAAAAGCAAACAATTAAAGCATTAGAAAAATGGGAAAATAATGGAATATCTTTTGGTGAGTTAGAATGGAACAAAATATTTGAACTACCATTTAAAGTTGCAAAAGAGGCAAAATTTCAGTAGATGCAATTTCAAATCCCGCACAGGATTATTGCAACAAATAAATACCTTTATAAACTTAAACTAATTGATTCAACTGTTTGCTCATTTTGTGAACAAGAAGTTGAAACAATTGAACATTTATTTTTTGAATGTTTCTGTGTAAAAAGAATATGGTGTCATATAGAGGAGTGGTTTATGAAAAACTTCCATTTTACTATTAATTTTGATAGAAAAGATATACTGTTTGGAAAATACAACAATAAAAACTTGTATAGATTACACAATATAATAGTACTTACTGTTAAACAATTTATTTTTGCCAGTAGGTTTAAAAATATGCCTAAATTAAGTATAGTAATGCTAGAAAAAATAATTGTAGATAGAATACTGGTTGAAAAGGCTATTCTTTTAAGAAATTGTAAATTTTCAGAATATGAAAAGAACTGGAAAATTATTTGTGATATGCTATAATGTTCTTCAAATTTATACTCAAATGTACCAGTATGGTAAAATAGTGAAAACTGTTCCCCCACTTCACTTTGTTTCCCTTCCTCACCCCTCCCCTTTAGTTACTTCTTTGTATATAAAGCTTTCACAATGAAGATTCATAATATACATGAATGTCATATATCTTTTGCAGCTTTATGAAATGAATTTGTATTTAGTATTTACCAAAGAGAATTTGTATAAAGTATATAATATAAATTAATTATATGGAAAAAAAATTATATAGTATATGTATGTATTGAATGTAAACAAATCTATTGTACATAGTCTGTAAATGTGAAAGCCAAAAAAATTCTATGAATTAAAAAAAAATATTTGCCCCCCCAATCAAACTTTGATGGAGATATATTTAACTAGGTTCTTAAACAGGGGAGTAGATGCTGACTTCAAAGCACTGAATATTTTCATAAGTAATGACGCCATATGTACGTAATGACGTCACAAACATGACGTAAATTTCAAACTTTTATGAATTTTACAGAAAAATGTACATAGTTCGCCGATATTTTGAGTAAAAGTCACCGAGCGCATGTGTGTTCAGGATCAATATTTTGATATAATATGTAGAATGATAATATCAATGAAATATGTCAATATTGTTCCCGAACAAACTTGCGCTCTATAAATTTTAAAGCTAAAATTGTTGAAATTTTGTCCATTTTGTCCTCTTTCCGAAAAAGGATATAAAATCGGACTAATTTGTGACGTCATAAATCAAAAATTGTGAATACACTGCTTTGACACTATAATATTTTCTGTTAATTTATATTTCTCATACACTTTATTGAATTAAGCACATTTCAGGAAGTTTTCAAAATTTGACTTTTGTTGGGGCAAATATATGCAATATACCGCATATAGTTCTTTAACTGTATGACGCAATAAAATGTGAAGATAATAATAATAATAATAAAAAAAAAGACAAACAAAATGTATAAAAACCCAGTCCAATCATACACTTTAAAAAACCCTCACAAACATGTGTTACTCAGTACTAAATTTTCTCAAAGCTATGTTTGATACTGAATTAAAAATAAGAAATTGCTAACCAACATTTATTTGTGACGACTTTATTTTTCGATTTACTAGGGATGAACTACTTTGCGACGATTAATTTTCGGGATTAAGCCTTTTTTTTTATCTGTTGTTAATAAACACAGAGATTTTAAGGATCGGTTCGCGGCCTGAAATATTTTCGATTACGAGACTCTCGCGAAAATTTCTCGCACGAGAATAAAAGTTGGCTTACAGTACTATGTAAGAATGGAAATTTGTGAAGGTAAAATTTGAAAACACTATATAAAACGTTGAATTTTTACACTTGACTGCCATATCGACGCAAATCATTTTGTAGCTGTCGATATATGGAACTCAAACTGCTCACCTTCTTTTTTATTATAGCGAGCGCAGCAAGTGTCGCAAAGCGACGCTCACCACTGCGAGCTCTTAAAGCAACGCCCGTGCGAAGAGAAAATTCGGAGTACTGCACATTCATTCGATAGAATTTTTTGACGCAGTAATTTGGACCCATAAAGCATCACTTGTTAGAGCTACGCTCTCGCGAGAATGGCAGTAAAAGTTCAGGTAAAAGTAAACATGCCGTGATTTAATGAATAAATATTGAAGATAAATAGTTAACAAAAATTTCTTCATTTACTTTCAGCGCTGTTCAGGGTTCTTTTTGGTAATGTAACTTACATACGACGTCATGTTACGTCAGAGTCTAGACGCACCAAATGTCACGTGCAGTTTAACGAACCCGATCTTAATTATAACAAATAAATATCTGCGCTCACCATAACGGTCGCACCGTCAACATATTATATTTTCCTTAAATAGAAAAAAATGCTAAAAGATTTTTATTATTATGTTTGACTTATTGCAGATATCCTCATCATTACCAGGAAAGTGCAATGAAATCATTTGCGAAAATGTAACGACACAATCAGGACAAAGTTTCTGTTTGAAGGAAGGTGAAAATTCTAAATTTGGAAATACTGTAGTGTAGAATCTATACACTTAATTTGCTATTGATAATCGATATAAATTTAATTTGAGAAAAAAAGGCTCAATTCCAAATGGATAGAAGTTATATTTATTTATGAAAATAAACAGATATGAATCAAACGTATTCAATCAAATAGTGTATATGTCAAGTTGACTTGAAATTTTGAAATTGTGCCAACTGTTTAAAGAAAATTACAAAATAATGGATTATTACAACCAATAAGTAATACATTTGAAAACAAGTATAAGTTAAGTTTAATTTTTTTTGTTTATTTTTACACAGTTTTAAAATGTATTTTCTTAACAAACAACGCTGAGTAAAAAAATTAGTTTATCAAGCACACAAATCATATGAAATGGCAAGGGTAAAATACGATTAAAGTAACTCACACTGACAAATTATCAATAAAGTCTATATATAGGTTTTAACAATTTCTCTTGTAAAGGTACCCGTTCAGCCTATGGAAACGTTGCACAAAGCAAATCCGTTGCCTCCAGTTCGGTATGGGGCGATGATCTGGTGAATTTTCATCCCACGAGATTAACTGATGGCGACCAAAGAGCAATGAGTCCATACTGTGCCGCGACAAAGCAAGAGAGTACTCCATGGTTAAGAATAGATCTAGGCAATGCTTATCAAATTGATCATGTTCTTGTATTCAAAGGTATGTTATAAAATAATGAATATCTTGACAAACATGATTTGAAACAGATAGTGTAAATATCATGAATTCGAAATTTCTGACAGAAACAGAATTATACTGCACATTAGTTTTGCATTTTAAAGTGAATTTTACGGATACGGTATTATACATCCTATTTAACCGAGTTGATAATCGTTTATTGTATCCCTCTTCCTTGAAAGCTTCGATGCATTTTATGCAAATCATTATCTTCACTATCTTATTCTATTCCTTTTCATTCATTCTGAATTTGTTGAGAAAATTTGCTTTCAATGATTACTTGAGTAGGTAACATCTGGTTTGTTGGGTATGTCAGGGAATTAACTAAATGTCAGTAGGAAACGTGAGATAATTTGCATAACTGGTGATGCCCATTATTCATAAATTATCCCATGATCCCAACTGTTGTTAATACCCCTGGCTTAAGCAATAAACATGATAAAGAAGACAGTGATATCTAATATTCACATTTATTTGTAAAAAAAAAATAATGCAAAAATAAATCTAATGTTTTCTGACAAAATTGTAATACAAGAAGCAGTCCAGGCTAATTTTCATGCTGATCACAGACACAGTGACAGCCTTGGAGCCTTGGAGATAGACATGCATATTAGGCACTTGTAAAATTTTCATTCAGTTAATGAAAAAATGTAGAAATAATCCCACTGACTTTCAAATGTTTATTAAAGAGAAATCAGTTTGATAAGTAAATATATTCAGACAATACAACTAATTTCCATATAAAACCAAGTCCAGCGTATACTTGTAAGACTCCAAAGTCTGATGGTGACGCCAAAATCCAATAGTCTCGCCAAACCCCGATGGTCTGCGCCAAATCCCGATGGTTCACTGTCTTTACGGTCGCCAAAGTCCGATGGTCACGCGAAAATCAGATGGCTTGTTTCCTATGAGACGCGCGACGCTAAAGTGCGATGGTCTGATACGCCAAAGGAACAATCCTTGACGTCGTTTTCCTGCATTCAAATGCCATCATTTCCGAATTTATCTTGACATACGGTTTTATTTATCTTGCGTATTGCTTACATCTTTCATAGATACTAGTATTAGGATTAGTCCTCGCACACCACTCTATTGGTTAGGGATTAGTCCTTTTAATTTTATTGACTTAGGGTAAGTCCTTGCACACTAGTCGAGTTATTGTAGGGTTAGTATCACACCCACCCAAGATATCTAGATATCTATATATTTGTAAGCCCTACACACTTTTCGAGCGATACGGGTTAGTTTCGCACCTATCCGAGAGATAAGGGTTAGTTTTCCCATTAACCTTGGCATAGTGCGGCATTGTAGTTTGGCACAATAGTACGGTGACGTCATAAACATTGTTTTCTGCGCCATCGGGGTTTGGCGCAGACCATCGGACTTTGGCGTGACCATCGGACTTTGGAGTCCCAACGCACTTTGGAGTCCTACATACATATACTGTATGTTTAAAACATATACAGCATTCTCTTCATTTACAATTTGAATTTGAAAGATAAGGTATGAATTTACATGTTTTACCTTTAAAAAATAGTTCGAGTCAAGAAAACCTTACATTTTTTCAAATAATGTTTTGTTCTGTAGATGCAGAGTATGATAGATTGTGACAGTTGGACAGACAGATGACCAAAATTTAACATTAGGGTTGTCTTCTAGAATCTCAAATTTAATAAACAATATGAATATAATTTGTTTTATGACTGATCTATATCTTTTTCTGAAAACTGCAAGAAAAAATACCTCAATATCAATGCAGTGCTGAAGATCAAATTTCAATCATAGGCTGGTCTTCGGATGAACTATGTCAGACATATGAGGTCCGAGTTGGAGCAACGACGACCTGGGACGACATGACGTCATGTGGAGAAGGATCACACGAAAGAAATGAAGTTATCGTCTGCAAAGATTGCCTACTTGGCCGTTATGTCCAACTGCAACTAAAATCAACAAATAGCAACTGTTATATTGTTTTATGTGAAATGGAGGTTATTGCAGCAGTTGTGTAACGAGCATATTTTAGAAATGAAAGGTTAAAAGAAATGATTAATATAAGAATTACAGGTTTTGACTTGATCTTGTATAGTTTTTGAAAGCGTTACTTTATAATACGTGAAAGCTCACCTTTAAATATACAGATGTTATTGCATATCATGGGTCTAATTTTCCATTTTGTTTAGATGTGCCCTCTTTTTTGATAATTTCTCAATGATGTTTTAATTGCCCTGCCTAGTAGGAATAGAGAGTTTGTGGGAATGAAAATCCGAGACTCCTGCTGCACTAGTCAGGCGCTTCACTGATCGAAAAACCCAGGCTTACATTCAGCGCCTGAAACATTTGCATTTCACTCTCCTACAACTGTTTTCATCCTTGAAGACCCACCCCAAGTTCTTATTGTCATCGGTGTGACTTTCATCTGCTAGCCCAGGGTGACAGATGAAAGACTTTCCAGGGAAGAGGCTTGCTGGTTGCCATGGTGGGTTTAAGACCTTTTATGAAGGAGGAATGTGGCGGTCAGACAGGATCGGTCCCGTGCCTCTTGGATTTCCAGTCAGGTACTCTACCTACTGAGTAATCTGACCACCCGATATTGAACCCGTCTGTCATTTGCATTTGTTTTATAGAAATTTTCATTTTAAGGTCATTTTTTTTTTAAAATCAGGTATTATCATATTTTATGTAACATATTCATAATGTCTGAATCTGAATTTCATCTTGTGTGTTTAATAGTTCAGTAAAATTTTGATAAATGATATTGTTAATTTCTCTTTATGTTTTCTGTTAGTTTGAACAATTAAACTTATAAGTGAGACCGTCTAGCATTTTATGCAAAACATTTTTTTTTTTACTTTTTTTCGAAAAATATTGTTTTTTTCCAGGGATATGAAAGACTTTTACAATGATAATTCACAAGAAAATTTGCAGTCTTTAAAAAGCAATCTCATGGCACAGGTTATGAAAAGATAATGATGCAGACTATATCATAAATTGCAAATGTAACAGTAAACTCAAACAAATTGATCACAGCAGACTTTGGATAGGAAATGACCACCCATATATTCTAGATTATTGTATGATAGTTGAATACTTAATGAAATATGTCGAAATAACGAACAGTATTCGAGTTCAAAAGTCTATTAAACAATGCAAAATAGTTGCAGAGCAAACAAGGATCTCCAAAACATCAGAGGTACGACTGGGGAAAGAGCATCCCCTGCCGACCGGTCACACCCGCCGTGTGCTCCTTGTCATTGGGAAAAATCTGTCGACAATTCAGTGTGTGAATACTGGCCTAACAATTAGTATAAAAATGTTGATTCAGTGATAATTGATGTTTGTACTTGCTGACAAGGTCATTGTATCGACCATAGAACTTACGAAATGATGACTTTAAACGAGGCTGCTATTATTCTTGTTTGTCAATAATCTACCTCGTTTTACAAATTGTACATACGTAGAACATGCTCTTGTGTATCGAATCAACTGAGAGATATTAACCCCGTATTCAAGAGATGAAAGTATATTGCTGCATAAGTAAGGAAAATTGACTGTTGAAAAGTGTAAGTCATCACGTGTATCATAAAGCTTGGTTGTAAGATTATCATTAACATCTTTAGAAAAAATGATAAAGGAATTTTCTATAACATGATAGATGACATCAGTCTAAAACTAAGGACATTAAATGGTAACTTTGTAATCATAAATTATTAGTAATAACAAGCAGAATCAATTCAAAGCATAAAAAGTTTTAGCAAATATTGGTTTCCACAGAAGAAAAAAGTATGAACAAAGTCAATTTTCAAATTTAAGATTGATCGCAATAACAGTGTTCCATACTTTTAAAGGGTAATATACATTCTTATTACACAATACAAGTGTAATATTATACAAATATGGACTCAATGTAGGTCAATATGCATTTATAATGACCCAGGGTGACAGATATTGACCTCAGATACATGGTGTATATCGACCGAGGGCGCTAGCCCGAGGTCGATATACTCCATGTATCTGAGGTCAATATCTGTCACCCTGGGTCATTATAAATGCATATTGACCGTGCATTGAGTCCATATTTATTATATTATATAAATAATATTTTCCCGAATTTATTGATACAAGTTTATCTTCCTAATGTTTACAGAGATAGTATTAACCATAAATGAGCTGAATGTAAATGTTTCAGAATTTATTGAATGTTACTCAGAGGAACTTGTTTCGGGAATAAATATTAACCCGCCATAGCATGATAATAACACAAAGTAGGCCTATCTATCTCCGAATAACACAGAGTACCCCCTCCCCCAGATTGTGAATCGAACTCGTTTACACTTGCAGAGGAAATTATATGCACTGAAAAAATATAAATACCTATTTCTTCTACGATAAGATACAATACATGGCACGCTAGTCTTTATTTTCTTTAGTCTCCGTAATCGCGGAAACAGCGTCAAAACTCTGCTCGCCGAGTGGAAAAGTCGAATTCAACCATGGAATGGTGTGTGCTAAGTATTCCCGAAAAATGTTCACAGAAATCCTTGTAATTGTTTTGTATTCTCAGTCTATTAGAGTTCTTCACTATATATTTTAAATTTTCCTCACCTACAACTTGCAAACTTGCGAACTTTCATGTTTGTCTAAAGCGAAAGTGAAAACGAGGCAGCTCGTGCGAGTCATTATTCGCTTTCAGCGGTCATTATTAAAAAATAATTACTTCGTATTGACCAATCAGATTACTGGATTTCACAAAGTTATATAATATTTGGTGATAATGAACAGTATTCGAGTTTAAAAGTACATTTAACATTACAAAATGGGAGAGGCGCAAACACGAACCTCTAAAACATTGGAGGTGGGTCAGGTGCCCTTGAGGAGTGGGTATCCCCTGCCGACCGGTCACACCTGGATATGCTCCTTGTAACGTTTGGAAAAAAAATCCGTGGACAACTCAGTGTGTACATAATGACATAACAATCACTTTGAAGAAAGTCAGTCAGTATTTGACTATTCAATAAATTGTATTTGCTGACAGGTGTTTCATATAAAAACAGTTAAACTATGATAAATACCCGCATAATAAATATCAACAACAAAGATTACCATATAAACTAGCACCTAAAATCGTTTTTGATGTTATATTGGAGTGATTTGCCATTGTCCCCCCCCCCCCCCTTACGTTTGTTGAACTTTTTGCCAAAGAGATGGGTACCCCAAAGCTTAACAAACAGACAGAAAGAGGTACATAAAGACTGACGGACGGACTGAGGGAAGGACATCCCGATTATTTTATAATTTACTCTTTCCGCTTTTGACATCTTGGTATTATCTAATTAATTCTTTCGCTTTTCAAGCAAGGTATACAAAATTAAGATATCTCAAGAATTTTGATTAATTTTTTGCTGGTTGATTAACTTCCATTCGACATATTTTCTCAGAGGCGTCACCATGTACCCGTGAATGGCTTCAAATTTAGATTTTACGTGGTACTCATGGCCATTAAGTGGGTGGTTTTTTTTCAGTTATCATGCCAACACGGAGCATTGGTTTTTAAGAGTCATTCTCTGTAAGCATCAAAATGAGCTGGAAATTGAAAATCACGGATTTTGCTGAAACTTGGTGAAATAATTACATTATAAGCCCTATTTACAAAAATATTAATAAAAGTGATCAATTGGTCTTGTTTCCATGGCAACCAGGTTACCTGTTTTTGTACATAGGTGGTAAACACCTAAAATGATATTTCTTCCCATTAATGTACATTTAATTAAATAAAGGTGATTATTATTATTTTTTCCTTTGAAATAATTTTTAATTTGTATTTTCTATACAAAAAAACTTGAAAAAATCTGTTGGACCTGCCGTTAAATGCCAAATAACATAATAAAAATTGCCTTAAAAAAGGGGGGTTGAACATAACAATGTACACGAAAAACGCAGGCACTGGTGGAATATTCTGATGCTCTGAATTTCACTTTATACAATTATGAAGAACATATGAAAAAACTGGAGAGGTAATATTTACTTTAAGAAAATAAATTGATTGTAAAGTTTGTAAAAATCTCTAAATTTACACACATTTTTGTCTAGAGTTATTTCCCTTTTCGGAAATCTTTTGCTTTAATCGATGAAAATGAAAGTAAAAGTACACAGCAGAAAGCAACTTTGAGGAGTAAATACTGTGTGTTTTGGATATTTTCAGGGGTTTTAATCCAACTTGTGAAGTATTTAACATTACCCATAGTTAATTGATTGTTCAGGCTTTACTGTGTCTGAGAGATATACATGTTTGTGTATAGATGTGATAGATACATGTAAACTTATTTAAAAATGGATTGCATCCTATGAAATTCCTGCCTATGTGACAAGTGCTGCATCATTGAAAAAAGTGTTTTTTAAAAAAAGTAGATATCGTCAGTTAAATGGACTTCAGCACGAAGGGTGGGATAATAAGGTTGTGGTGAAGAAATATACATGACAATAAGAAGCACTAGGTAAGTACTAATGAAATATTGACTACGTACATTGAAAGTTGCACATATTTTGTATGAGTTTATTAGTAATAGGGCATGACTATTTATTATTAAAATAACTTTAAAGTACCCAAAGCATAAATAATGACATGATTCTAATTATATCATTAACAGTATAGGCATATTATCAATCTTATTAAAATTAGATGTGAATGAAAATTATATAAACCATCTGTCAGGCCATCCTTTAAAAATTGTTTGTTTGGAATTGCCGCCTGATGGGTTTCAGACACAGGAGGGAGGGAAAATAATTTTTTTTTATTGAAGGTAAATTTTAAATTTTTGATAATAATCTCAGTAAACAGTCAATACATTTTCTGATTTTAAAAAAAAAGTATCTACAATCAACTAAAATAACTTAATTTTACATACATGTAGATCTGAAACAATCTTTCAGTGTTTTGTTTGGTGTATGTGATACATGTAACTAATGCCCCCCCCCCCCCCCCCCCCCCCCCCCCCCCCCCCCCCCCCCCCCC